TGATTGAGGAATACGAACCTCCCGCAATATCCTGCTTGTTGGCGAATACCAGCAGTAACGATTCCTTCATTTCTCGGTCGTTAATGATGCGGTGCAATTCCTGTCTTGCTTCCTCTATCCGTGACTTATCCGAGGAGTCGATAACGAAGATCAGTCCTTGGGTGCCTGTACATCGGATTAGACTTGTGCCCCCCGTCCCCTCCCCCCCCCCCCCCATTTACTTCCCACCCTTCTCCCATCACCGCCTCATCCCATGCCCTTCCCTTCTCATACATCTCCGCATGCTTCCCCCTTCGACACAGCAGAAGAACTAAACATACCACTGAAATAATGCCTCCACAACGGCCTAATCTTGTCCTGTCCACCCACATCCCAAACATTGAACTTCACATTCTTGTAAGTGACCGTCTCAACGTTGAAGCCGACCGTGGGAATCGTTGTCACATCTTGGTTGAGCTTCAGCTTATAGAGGATGGTCGTTTTGCCGGCGGCGTCGAGCCCCAGCATCAGGAGGCGCATCTCTTTGGATCCGAAGATCTTGCCCATCACTTTGGAGATCTGGGCGCCCATTTTCGCGGTGGTGTCGGAGACGACGGAGGGAATTTCGAAGAGGGCGATCCCGGAGAGAGGAAACTCGAGGTCGGGGAGAGCGAGAAGCGGATTGATGATTATGGGTGGTGAGAAAGAGATGAGGTTGGATGTTGTAACGCCGCGCGATCGCCCGTTCGTTCGTTCGTTCGTTCGTTCGTTCGTTCGTTCGTTCGTTTGTTGGTTAATTGCTGGTCGTCCGTCCGCTCGTTCGCGCCCAGCCAAACACGACAGCACAGCTAGAGTAGTAGCTTAGTGTAGCACACAGCCTCGAGTCGACGTCCGTTCACCAGCCCTGCAATCAATTGTCGGTCCCTCGGCCTCTTCTGTGGGTGTCCTGAGCCGTGGTCTGCGCAAGGCTGAAACCCCCTGATTATTTTTCGTCCCTGCTTTCGCCGCGTCGATGATCTGTCTTGATTGAGGGCTTTTCGAGGATGCTGTGGTCGTGATTTCAATTGAAACGTCAGGTATGGTAGGTATGATATCACGGTGTGATCGTGGGTGGGAGGTCATGTGTTTGGGTTGCTGACTGTGGTCGCCGAGAAATCTGCTTTGGAGATTGGGATCCTTACAATCGGGGCGTTTCGCACATTTGACGCGGTCGTTTCAGGGTTGGCGCGTTTAAGGGGGAAGGGCCATCGCGCTAGGTAGTTATGGGTGGACATCATGTGATCTGAAAGGAGACGATAACAGTCAAGCATTAGAAGCCGTCCCTGTATTAGTAAGGGATGTATAATATAAGATCGAAATAGCGATGATGCCGGCCAGACGAAAACCGTGCACTGATGGGATTCGCTGTTGATGCACGCCCACAAAGCCAACTGGCATGTGGATATGTCAATCAATATATTTTGCGTCTACGTTGTAGCTCTCATAATGCCTCGCACGCCATCCTTTCGCCGAGGGTCGCCACTTCAACCTGTAAACCGTCCCATACAGATAAGTATGTCTCCAAGGGCGCCGTAAACCATGCCCAACGCCAAACACAATGCCGTCGCCTATACCAAAGTCACCAAACTCGGTAGTTGTCAATATCCACCCGAGAAGGCTAGGCAGTGTCCCTCGACCTATCCCTTATGATCCAGGACGAATCTCCGAGCAACTGGCTTCTCGACATCCTCTTCGTCAAACAAAACAAGTACTCTGGCGCCTCCATCAATCGTGGACTTGACCTCCGCGCGATAAAACGTCGTAGCTTGAGGGTACAAGGCCAGAACCTGTTTACCAACCTCGTATGTACCGAGGGTAGCACCTTCGGGGGGGATTGGAACCATTTGTGACGCAGATGACTTGTAAAATGGGTTCACACTCGCGGCGGCCTCGGGGTCAATATCCTTGACCTCGTACCGTCGACTCTTCCCATCCCCGATGACTCTCACCACTTCCCCTTGGATCCAGTCTTGGTCTTCGGGCTTGCCGCCGGGGACCTTTCTCTTGAAAGCGACCTCTTCCTTCAAAGAGTACACAATCTTTGGCTTGACTACTCGCTCATTGGTTTCAGATGCACCGTCGGTATTGCTGCGTGGGGGCTGGCTGCTCGTCCTGGACCCACCCATTTTGCGAGCTCTATTCTCTGCGGGCGAGGGAACGGGCGAGTCGGACGGCCCATCCAATTCCAGACCCGAGGACCTGGAGCTGGCATTCCGCGCGGAAGACTGTGGCGTCTCTTCTTCTTTTCTCTTGACCAACGTCATCAAAACGGTGATGCGTTCCCGGTTCTCATTCGCCAGAGCTGTCTGCTCCTCGTTTATCTTGACCAGCTCGCGGTAGTAAGCTTCTAGATCCGCCAAGTCTGTTGCTGAATGACCTGTCGGATGTTAATTTCTAAGTGACCAGCAAGCGTGAGGACATGACAAACTAGACCCAGTGCCCTCATTCTGTTTGATGCGCCGCTCCAAGGCTAAGATCTTCTCCCACGTGGCTATCACCTTTCTCTCGTTCTCCCGGATCACGGAAACGTGAGCTCGGAGTTCTTCCATCATCGAGACATCTAGTGAGGGTTCGCGATCCTTTCTGTTTCGTGACCGTTGGGACATCTTATCGTCAGTGAGAGAGAGAGAGAGACGTTCCGGGTCGGGTGTCGGGGCCAAAGGTTCCTGACTGGTGATAGGACTGGAGGCCGGATCTACCCGTGAGAATAATCAGATTTTCGGTTCAAGTGTGGCCGGGGGAGAAAATGGCATACGGTTGGTTCTGTCTGTGCTGTCTCTGGGATTCTAATTAGCGTCTTCTCTGGACGGTTTCTTGGGAAATTTTCTTGCCTGGAATTTCCAGTTCAGAGAGGGGGAAATATTGGGAGACACGAGTCCACCTAGTGTCTGAATGTCAGCAGAATTTTTCTACTAAACGTCCCGAATTGCTGTATTGATGTCTTTCCGTATTGAGGTGTTGCTATGGGAGAGGAGAGGATGAGAGGTCCACGCACTTAGAAGTGTGATATACTGCCCAGTCTGTCTCGTTTTTGCCTCAAATTGAAAAGAGGCAATGAGTACCTAATTAAGCTAAGATAAGTTTATGCTGAAAAGAGAAAGGGGTCCGGATCCGAGAGAGATGAGGGAGTGATCGATCATATGAGCAGGCGTACGAGGCGATGAAGGCGCGGATTAACGTTCAGCCTTGAGTAGTCGAGCCTGGGTGCATTGAAACCACGTGACTGGCTTCCTGGCTGACTGATCGGACTTGACCCACTTGTAGCTCCATAGATTGATTACCTAAGGTATTCATATACCACGGTACAGGCCTAAGTATTACCCCTCGAGGGTGCCTCAAAAGCTACTACTAGATACCCCACCTCTTAGCGCGGGGTCCCGTATACCGGTATGTGCTCCACTCTGTAGTGACGACGATTCACATTCACGAAATAATATCAACAAGCTTCTCCAACTTCAAATTCGCCCGCCTCAGCTTCCGTTACTCTTCTCTGAATAGCTTCACTCCTTCAAATTTCTCTCATTCTCTCCCTTTCACCGCTATACCGCCATCATCATGCAAGTCCCTCTATTCCGACTCCAATGCGGAGTCAACAGCTACGACTGGGGCAAAGTAGGCAAGGAGTCCGCTGCGGCCATGTTCGCCGCCGCAACCCCCGCCGATGATTTCTCCATCCAAGAAGACAAGCCTTACGCCGAGGTATTTCTCCATTCAACCCTCCTCGCACATCCTCTCACCACCAGCAGCTATGGATGGGCACACATCCCTCCAACCCCTCCAAAGACCTCATCACGAAACGATCTCTGCTCGACCTCGTTCAAGACAACCAGGCACTCCTCTCAATAGCAGTCGGCGAAAAGTTCGGCCACAAGCTTCCTTTTCTCTTCAAGGTTCTCTCCATCGGAAAAGCGCTCAGCATCCAAGCACATCCCAATAAGAAGCTAGCCGAGAAGCTGCATGCGAAGGACAGCAAGAACTATCCCGATGACAACCATAAACCTGAGATGACGATTGCGATTACACCCTTCGATGGACTATGCGGGTTCAGACCTTTGGCCGAGATATCGCATTTCTTGTCTACGGTGCCATCGCTCAAGAAGCTGGTTGGGAGTGAGGTGGAAGCGTTCACATCTACGGTCAGGGGACAAGAGACGTCTGATAAGCCCGAAGACGAAGAAAAGAACAAAGAGGCCTTACAAAAAGCTTTTGGCGCTCTCATGAATGCAAAGAAAGAGGACGTAGAAGCAGCAGGCAAGGAATTGATCGAGTCCGCGACACAAGAAGGTGCCGATTTTGCAGGCGGTGGTGTTGAAGCCACACCTGGCCAGGAGCTCGCAGATCTGGTAGTCAGACTCGACAAGCAGTTTCCAGGAGACGTCGGGCTTTTTGTTCTCTTTTTCTTAAACTATGTGAAGCTGGAGGTCGGAGAGGCCATGTTTCTCAAGGCAGACGATATCCATGCCTATCTGAGCGGGGATATCATCGAGTGTATGGCGGCATCTGACAACGTCGTTCGTGCAGGCTTCACGCCGAAGTTCAAGGACGTTGATACGTTGGTCGATATGCTGACATACTCTTACGCACCTATTGAGGAGCAGAAGATGGAGCCAGTCGACTATCCATACGTCACGCTCAACCCGACAGCATACAGTTCTGCTTCAGCTGCTGTACTCTACGACCCTCCAATTGAGGAGTTCAGCGTTGTGAAAACGGACCTGAAGAAGAGGGGTGCCAAGGCCACCTTCGAGCAGATCGCTGGACCGAGTATTTTCATCTGTACAACTGGTAGCGGGAAGATTAGTGTCGGCCCAAAAGTCGAGGAAGTCAAGGCCGGCTATGTGTATTTTGTAGGATCAACTGCCGAAGTAGTATTGGAGAGCGAAAGTGAGAATTTCACTACGTTCAAGGCTTTCTGCGAATTGCATGACAAGGAGGACGGGAAGGAAAAGTTGTGAGGGATTTCTGACTGTCCAAACAAGATACACACGACTTCAATGCAATAGCTATTTGTATCTACAATTTTAAAATATAGCATTGGCTAAAATTTTAAATCGAAGTGAATTGGAGTGACATCTGATCCCGGAGAGTCTCGCCCGACATGTTACCGCTACCAGAGAACTGGGAACTAGAACAGAGAATATCCATCGTTCATATTGAGACGTCGAGATAGGTTTTGATCTTGGGTTCTGAACATTAAGATAATAATAAGAGAAGGAGGCGAACAGATGGAACGGGAAAATGGTTGAGTCTCGGTTCACCTAGATGACGACCTGGAGCCCGAGTTCTAATATACACTTGACGACCCACTCCCTTCGGATTGTACTACTTAAGGAAAGAAGTGTTCGGTGATCAAGGACTTCCCTCAATTTGCCAAGCCCTCCAATCAATAACTTCGTTCGAATATCCCCTCAGTTGCCTTTCGCTATCAAAGCAGATAGCCGAAAACCCCAAATCATTGTTATTTACCACGTCCGTTGGAAGAAGCATTTGCAGCTTACTCTCATTACCCGAGATACGGGAGAAGCGCAGCGCGTCCTCGGAATTTGACACCAACGTATCGATGTATCGCAGGATTTCGCTCTCAGCTACCGACCACAAGCTCTCTTCTTCCCCAGTCTCTGGGTCGTCCCAATATTCCGGGACCCATACTTTGTCTACGGCATCGAACTTGTCACTATCCGCTTCGATAGCACAATACCATTGGCTTCCTCGAGTTCTCCAGCCAGCAGGTTCTTGTACTAATTGGACTATTAGCTCCGTGTGATAAGTAAGGATCTGTATACCGTAGATCAACTCACCCGTATATATGCCATTTCCTATTTGAGGGTAGTATGGGGAATCGTCATCGATGCTTGGATCTCTATACAGCGTGTTGCTTTGATTGATAATGGCGGCTTCCGCCTATAGTTCGCCTAATTAGTATATGCTTACCTTATATAAAATAAATCAAGTGAAGTTAATAGACTTACGGGTGAAACCGTTCGATAGGCGATGACTATTCCTTGAGCTCCATGAAAGAGAAAGCTCATGGCTAGCAAGATCGCGCAGATAGACTTCGATGGTGACATTGCGAGTTGACGAAAGGGAACAAGATCGCAGAGGAAGAGGGTGATGCATAAGAACTGAACTATGTGCGAAGAAGAAATATATACTGTTGGTTTGCCGGTAAAAATAAACGTCAATTGAATGAAGCTTCTTCTGTGTATTGCAACAGGTAACAAATAGGGTCTTTTCAGTAATGAAAGTTGGTCTTGGTGATTCTTGATTGATGCTAACTACCAAAAACAAACTATTCATAGAGCATCCTAATTCCTATCAACTAGATTAAGGGGTGAATAAAGATCGGAAGTTGTAGCTCCGAAGGGGCCGTGTAACGGGAGTTGAGGCTCCGAGACAATACCTTCAAGGGTATCTTCTTCGCGTAGCTTGGAGAATACCAAAGGGGTAATTACTAAGGTACTCTCCCCCCCCATAAATAAATGTCGACCCGGTTTAGGCCCATAAATCATAGAGCGGTGGTTTCTTAATAGCTCAAAGCCTTGTCAACTCCATTGTATAGACTAAATACTGGCTCAAAGATACTTTCTAAAGCTGAATCCTTATAAGTTTATTGGTTTAAGCCTTGGTAAGATCCCCTTGCGAAATTATACTTTCGACATTTATTCATGGGGGGGGAGAGTAAGTAATCAATCCATCCCTACCTCCCTGACTCGTAACCTCTCATCAGCTAAGTCATTGACTCAGAGTTCAATGAGTGATGAACCGACATATACCTTTTTTTTGAAACAATACGTGAAATTTCTACGTCGGCTATAAATAAATAATCGTGCGGCTAATAATAGTCAGCGCATCTCCGTAGAGTCGTTGTTGTTGTTGTTATTGTTGTTGTATTTATTAACGTCGGGCGGGTATCCAAAACGCAATGCTTGGACCTTAAGGACCTCTTATAAGGTACGGCGACGTGCTAAGTAAAAGAATTATATATAAAGTACTATCTAATCGAGAGTAAAAACCACGTTAAGGAAAACCTTTCGTCAAATAGCTGAATACTTGTAAACCCTTTAAAAGCAACTTATAGTGCTATGCGTCGAGTTTTCTTTCGATAACTATCGAATACGTATAGCCTTACGAGCGGCCTCGATCCGTATAATATAAACATCGTTCTCTTTCGTCGTAAAGCTAAGAAAGCTCGCGTTCGTAGCCTTTAAATAAAGCCGGTATATTTGCAAAACGCTCTTTCGAAAGCGCAATACCGTGTTTTCGATCAATCGAACTAAGCCTTTTTCATCTCATCTCTTATATACGTTCCTTTTTTATCGCAAATCCTTTTAGTCTTTTTAATCGGCATGCTCGTCAAGTATAGATCGTAGTCGGCGTAGTATTCGAAAAGAAAGAGGAAGGAGGTTCGGAATCGCCGGTAAAAGAGAATTCTTTAAGAAGACGTCGTATATCGATGATTCAATTTCGGCTCTTTAGACTCTTATCTCTCTTTCTACCGCAAAAAAAAGAAAGAAAAAGAGCTGAAGGTTCGTAAGGGGCACTTCGTACAGGTAAAGAATTTTTAGCCCGATCTCCGTAGAATCGAATTCACGCTTGGCTAAGTAACTATTCATAGTATTGCAATTTTCCTTTCCAATTTACTGTACAATGATCAATGTAATTATTTGTAAAAAGCACGGTCTTAAGTCTTCAATTCCATGTAAGCAAGGGGGTTACATTATTCAGTACCATGTTTCCCTTTGTAGGTCTCGATAATACGATGGTTTAGCATATAATATAAACTACCTTGAAGCGAGGTTCGCGTAAATTTTAATGTAGCGCTTGGACTCGGTTAAATACCTAAATGCATCCGGAAGCGCTACCGGTATATCATCAATTTCGCTTAAAAGCACGGCTAATTTTCTACGGAGGTATAGGTAGGCCTCGAGTCTTGTTTCACCGCCCTAGGCTAGGTACACCTCTTTAAGCAGAAAGTATAGCCCACTCCCTATGCTATACAGACCTATCGAAGGCGGTAAGACAAGATCAACCTTCGTATTACAACGTCACAGGCGTAAGTGTTACTTACACCTTGAGGGTAGGGTAACCAGGGGGTTTAAAGTGGAGATTTAAACTTTTGAGGTGGTAGTTTGATGTCTCTTTGCCATTCTACTACGTATCTCTTAAAGAGCACTCAAGTACGCTAACGCTACCGCTAACGCTACTTTCGCCGCCGCTATGCCTTTCATAGGAGTCATTATTTCTGAAAGCCAGCAACCAAGCTCTTAGCAAAGCGATATGAACCTTAAGATCTTAATTTAATAAACAGCCTTGAAAATTGGACTGTGCCGCTTCGTATCTTAGGAAAGGATGACCCCTAAGATGCTATTATCTGTTCACATAGGATCGAAGATTTGCAGGCCTTTGAAAGCATGGTACTGAAAAGTTAAGATCAAGCAGTACTCGTGTGGCCAGCATATCTGTCCCTATGCGTTGATCATTTCAAACTGGGCAAAGCGATTGCAACGCTCTGTATGGTTGGCTACGTTTAAATTTAATAAATTTGACTCTATATTTGAGATGATTTTCGATATGGAGAACGATATGCTGGCCGCACGAGTACTCTGAATGGTTATATGCCTTGGCCTGGACTCGAAGCATAAATATAACGCACCAAGTAAAGGATTTAAGGAGCTTGTAGATCCTACAGAAGAAAACGAAACCACGCGTTCATTATTTAAGTGTCACAGCTTTATTTCTAGGAAACGCGACCAAAAAATCGGTATTACAAATTTCCATCTGTTCCGAGGCCTCACCATCTATGAATCCAGACGATTACTACCAGAACCCGACGAGCGAAATGAGGCGCTAAAAAGACTCGGGATGATTGCAAATCTCGATAAGAGATGTATGACTACGAGGCCTTCTTAATTATATCAGGGGCTATCGAAAGAGGACAAGAAATTTCCCAAGACTGCTTCTGGCGATTACGATGCCGGCGGATACAATAAATCTTACGAAAAAAAAAATTGATTTACAAGAGCCTGTTTAATGAAAAGTCTTGGGAAGCTCTCTTCAAAATCTGGCGAGTTGTTGTAGAAGGTAGAGAAAAGGAAGTTTGCACAACTCACGCCAAAGTATTAGGGAGGCTACGATTCTTTACCTATACAAGATGCCTCTTACGAACCTTCAGCTCTCTCTTATGGCAAAGAATCTAGAAAGCGAAATTAGATCATCGATATGCGACGTCTCTTCGAAGAGAACTTCCTTTACCGGCGGTTCCGAACCTTCTTCCTTTTTCTCTTCGAATACTACGCCGATTACGATCTATACTTAACGGGCATACCGATTAAAAAGATTAAAAGGATTTGCGATAATAAAGAAACGGGTATGAAAAATAAATAAGAAAAGCTTAGTTCAATTAATTGAAAACAAGGTATTGCGCTTTCGAAAGAGCGTTTTGCAACCGGCTTTATACAAACGAACGCGAGCCTTTTTTAGCTTTAGGGTAAAAAAGAACGGTGTTTATACTTGTAAGGATCAAGGCCGCTCGTAAGGCTATACGTATTCGATAGTTTATAAAAGAAAACTCGGCGTAAATATTTATGAAATGCTTTCAAAGGGGTTTTCTTTTACTTAGCACGTCGTCATACCCCATAGGAGGTCCTGGGGTCCAAGCATTGCGTTTCGGATACCCGCCCGACGTTAATAAATATAACAATAATAACAATAACGCCAAATTACTGATAGTAGGACTTGAGGTCACAACTTTAAGGGCCCTTTCTTAAAGAAGGCGAAACAATTCTATCTCGCAAAGCGATTGCACCCCGCACCGATTTTCTTACTGTATTATCATTAACGCTAATCTAAGATAAGTTCTAAGGGTTATGATAGTAATGAATCATCCAGCTAGGTAAGATTATTTTATACAAGCTCTTATAGGATTGACTCGGTGCCAAGCTTTTTAATTGCCCGTATTTCATGGTCTTGATCTCTCGGAACGGTTCGGCCCGGAACAAAAGAAGTTAGAGAGATTAAAGTACCACTCCCGAATTGCCAAGTACGTAGTACAGCCTAAGGGTGCCTTAAAAGTTTAAATCTCCACTCTAAATAAACCCCCTGGTTACCTTATCCTCAGGGTGTAACACTGACGCTTGTGACGTTGTACTATATCCGACGCCGGCACATCAATACAAACGGATAATAATAAATCATCTAGACACGGGGAATTATTCTAATAAATTATGTACCGCGGCGCGTCAACGCGTTATATAAGTACGCGTGCAAGATCAATTTTTTTTTCTAAAAAAAAAGACGCGTCATTTATATAGAAATGCTGTGGCTACCTGTTTTCTTTCAAATTGAGCTTTTAAGAAAACTAATAAAGCCGTATATTAAATACTGCGATATGTAATGAAACTAAAAAAAAAATAAAAAAAATTGGAGCTTATCGAAAAATTCGAGTATGATATATGTAAGCTCGTATTAGCATGGGTTCGTTCAATAGTAGAATAGAAAGAACGTTGGTAGGTTAGTAGTAACAGCTTTATTAGATCGCCGGTAGCGAACGTTCTCATGACTAGCGTGCTGCGCACGTAGCTAATTGCAAAACTGTTGGTAAAAATGGTAGCTGATTTCTATCTGCTCCTCAAGGTTCGGAAGAGTGGATTCCTTTTCGATCCCCTTACACTTAGAGGGTCTAAGGGGGAGGATCCTCCTTATAATATACTCTTGGCTCTCGATTAATTACAGTAAGTTGCAAGTTCACAGCAAGTTGCACATTCAGTGTTTTTTTTTGTTTTTTTTTTCTATCGTATCATTGCACTTGCACTTGCACGTTAGCTTGCACGTTGGCTTATATTTTCATTTGTGCTTTCTTTTTTTTTTGGTTTCTTATTATCGTTATTTTTACGTCTTGGCCTTTTCCTGTAGGACCATTTCACACTTCCCACAGTTGCATCCTCTAGGATCTTATCTATTATCAGCCAAACTGACAGAAGAGGAAAGAACGTGGTGGAGGTAGATAATGGAGGAGTGGGAGATGGAGAACCCAGATGTAGTAGGACTCGCTTATGCCGATTCGTGTATCCAACTTTTATTATCATAGCTTTTTTCGTTGTTGATTTATTCTTAATATAAATCGTTATATTCGTTTTTTTTTTTAGAAATTCAAAAACATCCTTTTTTTTTTCGATTTGCAATTTAAATAACTTAATAACGAAAAGATCCATATTATTAAAGATAAGATACATTTATCGGCGGGATCGAGTTTCAATATTATAGCTCTATATGTTGCTAAGTTATTTTAATGCAAGTTGAAATGTGATAATTGCTTGACCTGGGACACTTGCTTGTCATGACTGTAACCAAGAGCCCGCTGGTTCACTGTCGTTGTTATTGTTGTTGTTGTTGTTGTTGTTGTTGTTATATTAATTAACGTCTAGCGGACTATAAGCGTAGCATGCGCTCCTCGTCCTGGGACCTCCCAAGGAGTACGGAGACGTGCAAAGCTAAGGGTTTATATAAAGTCCATCAAATCGATCTTCTAAGCGCCAAAGCCTTGTACAGCTGTAATCTTCTCTTGAATAGACCTAATATCATCCTATATTACCTTAGAATGCAATTCAAAAGAGTGTCGAAACGAGAAAGTACTCCCTTCGCTGGTTCACTGTCAGCGCGCTGACCACTAATATTCATATATTAACATATGTTTGCGACGAAAAAGCGAAATGTGAAGTTTATTATATTTTACACCGGAACACGATTAAGTACAATAGAATGGTTAAGACATGTATAAAGAGTTAGCCCTAAGTAGCCCGCATTAGCGTAGGTCACGGGCCACGTGACCCCGTGGCTTCCTATAAGGAACTACTACAACCTTTTATAGCAAGACCAAACATTGTCAATATAATAATCTAATTAATTGATGCGAGATTATTCTTATATCATATACACCTTTTACTAATACTGATTAGTAGACAGTAAACCATAGATTCGCAAAGTACAAAAAAGAAGCAGATTGAGTCTAAAGCGCTTCTTTACTAAACTGCCGCCAATCTTAAATCTTATGGTATAAGTTACGTATCACTAATATTAGCTAAGTGATTTAAAGATAAACAACTTCAAAAACAAAAATTAATTAGTGTTTTATCATGCGTAAAAAAAAATTGTAGAAAGTGAATAACTTTAAAAGAAGACTAAGATCTACTTTCCTATCACTCGAACTGCTCCTTCGGCCTACGCCAGGGGTTCTTCGACTATACCCCCAACTACTAATCGGATCAGCTCTTTTATATACAAATTCGAACCAAACCTTTCACGAATTCCTTTCCTTATACACAAGAATTCGAACTACTAATTTTCGATCTCTTCACTAAGCAATTCGAATCTCAAACCTCCTTGCAAGCTTTAAAATACAACTTTACCTCACTCCTTTCAATCAGCTACACTTCAATCAGCAGCTTTCCATATGCGACGCTAAAATGTCGATCAGACCTATCCACCTTGATACCTGCTCATTTCTATTAAAACTAAAGACGCGCGCCTTTAGTACTCAAAAATAACTTCGACGCACCTGCCCCTTTCGACCAAATTTTCGAAATGCGCGCCTTTAGTCAAAAGAATAAAGACTACGATCTCAGTTAAGTTGGCTAGCTCCGCTAGCTCAATTAACCTTATAAATAGAAGATCAGCAAAAAGATCAACAAGTGAAGGAGCAACAATTAGAAGTGCAATCGAAAGACCAGCAATTGAAAAAGCAATTGGACTAGCAATCGGACCAGCAGTCGGAAGGCTAGCATTTCTTTCGCGCTGCTGCGAAGCAATTACTTCTTATACCAATTACGAAGCGCCATTTTTTTTAATCACCTTCGCAGCTACCTTTCTTACCACTCCGCTGACAGCGCAACATCCACTACCTTTTATACCACTTTCGAAACATCCTTTATCACTTCCACTACTTTTGAAACTACGCGAATCATACACCTCCTCTCCTCCTACGATGACCTTACCTTTCAAAGAAGCTCGGAACCTGCCAAAGGAATACTAAGAGACTACACCTTACGCTACGAACCTCGAACAGATCATGCAAGTTTTATGAGTAAGATCCCTTCCTTTAATTTCAAGTCAGAAAACTAATTAAAACAGTGGTCCCGACTGCATCCAAGGTTCGATCAAATATTCAGGCTCGATTTGTTGTTGTTGTTGTTGTTGTTGTATTAATTTACGTCGGGCGGGTAGCAGGCGAAGCTTGCCGCCCTGGGACTTCCCATGGGGTACGGCGACGTGCTAAGCTAAGGAGTTACATACAAGAAGGCCTTAGAAAGCAATTCAAAGTGCTGTAGCGAGGGCTACTGTCGCATGCGCCTTTCCTTTACAGATAGGATGGATCACATAGAAAGAAACCTTTCATCAAAGGAAAACCACAAAAGGAGAGTCAAGCAGGTACAGACTGCTGTAGCTAGCTAAAAGCGAGCTGTTTAAGTCGCATGGCGACGGGGGTCGAGGCCGGACCGAAGTCAGCCGAGTACAAAGGAAAAGGTCCAATACGAAAGCCCAAACTCCAAAAGAAAACCCAATATAATACATCAGTGACAGAAAGAATTCCCTCGGGAGCGCACCACGCTATCCTAAGGTCCTAGTCCCGTCACGCGATTGATCTGACGAGCCTTTACAGCTTAAGTAAGGCGGAGCGTACCCCGTTCTCCTTACCGAAGCAGTATCAGTTGGCCAGAGTAGCACCCTCATCGGGTGCAGTGCTTGGAGTAGAACTCCGTGGTGGTCAAGAAGGCCTGAAAGTCGGCCGGATTGTGACCTTTCTAAGAGCGATTTTGCCAATCTTAGTGATTGGATCTCCTCTTACCTCTGCTTTCAGCTGCAGCGGTCAGGTTATTCAAGTCCAGTTATAAATACTACAGAACAATGTACATCACACCGAATCCCAATCCCAATCCCAATGAAAATGACAGCCGCCGGATAGCTATCATTCCTCAATCTTTCCTTTGATCAAGCATTTCGGTGATCTTTACTGCTTTTTGCGCAACATCCTCCGTCTCATCTACACAATTCAACATATTGTGATATTGGATACTAATGCTGGTCCATGCATTCTTCTCCGAGTTCAGCCATCCTCTATCACCGAAATCGAATGTGAGACCTCGGATCGCATCTCTGGTAATAGAAATGAGCAAGTCCTGGGAATTTGTGTCAGAGTCAAAAAGAAAGCTGTAACGTAACGAGAAACAGCGGACAGCGAACCTTGTATCCCATCCCTGTGTCTCCTTGTCCTCATTCAGAGAATTCTTATCTTGAGGAGCATGATGGGATTTTTGTTAGAGTACTAGAGATGGCACATCAGTTTTGATATCGCTCCCGAAATCACGGACCTCTGTCGCATTCGATTTCTTGGTCTTGGGTATTGTTCTGAGGGACACTGCTGATGCCTCGAGCTCTGGTGATGCCTCGCGCACTACTACTGCTGCTGATGATGTCTTGAGGCTGTGTGCTTGCGGGTTACGACTCAAGAATTCTGTCGAATGTCGTTAGGGGAGATTTATTCCAGGCTCGCTGTTATTGTTGGATTGTTTCCAAGCGATTAGGAAATATATTATTCGTAACTTCGTAAAGGTCGTTAAAGTACTTGCAATTGCAAAACACTCGGTTGTAAAGGTATTTGAATTCTGTCTTGTTCTGTTCTTTCCCAGGTTCAAGGGAGCTGACTCCTTCTATACAATTAGAAGGAGTCACGTGTACTAGCTAAATAATAGGTTTACAAGCAAGTTGGGGGTCCCTTGACTTGTGACAAGCTAAGCGAGGCATGCCTAGTGACCCGTGAATCTTGGTTCACGAGTGAACTTCCCCCCAACTACTACTAACTAGCTAAGGTCGATATAAATATACCGACAGTTATGATGTGTGTCTAACGGGGGTCCTATCTTGCTGTTTACGCCTGAAATCGCATCACGGCAGTCGGTATGCCGGTTGTTGATGTTGTTGATGTTGTTGATTTTGTTGATGAGGTGGTCGTGGTGGATGGTTTTTTTTCTTCTTGTTCTTGTTGCTCTAATTGTTGTTGTTGTTGTTGTTGTTGTTGTTGTTGTTGTTGTTGTTGTTGTTATCGTCAGACTCCACCCATCTATCGAAACCACCATTTTACTCTCTCAACTATCAACTTTCCTATCAAGTATCAGCCTGCTGTGATCTCAATACTGCTAACGGGACATTGAATCACCTGAAAGTCACAATATGAAATAATTAAATGAAGGAATTAGAGCTTAATCGATTAAAAACTTCTGATATCTGGGTATTCACAAAATATTAATTAAGTAAGTGAGTAAGTACATTAAGAAAAAAAACCGGAAGAAGATCACCCTCCGCCTTCCCCCCTTCAGCCCAGGATTAAATGTTCAATCTACAACTTCTATTACGCGCCAGGATTCGAAATTTCACTACAAAGTATTGTAAGATCGGATGAGTAGTTCCTCTGAACGAGGCTGCTCCCATGTTCCCCAAGCCGAAATCGTCCCCTGATAGAAGTAGATGAAAAGAAAGAGAGAACTTCTGGATCAGGGCACTGGTTTAGTCCACTTCAAGAAGTTCTCTTGCCACCTGTGCCACGGAGGACTTCCTCGCTTACAGAGCGAGAGCGGCGAGCATGGCTGCTGCTGCCGCGAGAGCACCTCCGTGGACCCTCAATGCAGCACCCGTGACTGCAGCCGGTGCGTTTGAAGCTGCCGACGCCGTGATTCCCTTAACACTAGTAGCAACAGTAGTTGGCGCGCTCGCCGGGGCGGTGCTCGTGGACGGGTGATTAACGATCGCGAAGATGGAGCCGACAACATCTGAGGCGCCGTGGGTCGCCGACGTTTGGATCTGCGTCGCCGCTTTGCAGATGTCGCCTGTGATGCTGTTTGTTTCTGATGAAGTTCCCGCGGTTAGTGCACTGCTCTGCGATACGAAGGGAGATTGGGGCATTGGATGTGTCAAAAAGTTATGAACTTGGGAACGTACTCAGCGCATCGGTTGAGGAGCAGGAGCTGACAACACAGAAAGTGGCAGCACTGGTGACCGCGTCCTTGTTCAGGCCGCATTGACATGTATAGTCCGAGATTCCGCAGCCGACGGAGGAGGAGGCTGTTGCTAGACAGCTGATAGCGCAGGACGGGAGCTGGGCGACCAAGCTGGAGACGCTCTGCGAAGAGACGAGTGATGCCACGATGGCGAAGACGATGGCGATAGAGAATTTCATCTTTGTTTTGTTTTGCTGCGATGGAGGGGGAGAGAGGGAGAGAGGGAGAGGGGGAGAGGGGGAGGGGGAGAGGGAGAGAGATGGGGAGGGGGAGGGATACTATGCAGGAGAAAGCAGATGGGTATCTCGAAGAGAGGATGGGTGAGTAAAAGCTTTCTGTATTGATATGGATATCGATATGGACGGGATCAGATCTCGACTGTCAAGAGGCTGGTATGCATATGCGAGTGAGCCACCTCCGAATAGGGAATGTTGCCAGTAATGTGATTGTGACGATGATTGTCAATGTCAATTTTATTGTCATAAGCCGACTATTGTTCCCTAGTCACTAGCGAGGTGGTAGTGAGGTGGCAGGACTAGCTGGTCGGGCATGTCGACAGGAGGACGAGGGAAACAATAGCCGTTTAATTGGTAAGTTGTAGGGAAATAGATAGTCCGAGCGATCTTGATGATGGGGACGAGCGGAATATATCAATCAGAAGATAGATACTTTTTGGGATCTATGTACTAGTGGTAACCAATATACACTAACGATACGCACTAACGCCCCCTCCGTCCCCCCGCCCCACTCTATCTATGGAGCCTCGACCGAAGAAGCTTGAAGGCCGAGGCTCTCTGTGTTTATTCCATGGCTCATGGCTCACAAGCCCATGGTAGGGGGGATTGTCCCTGAATATATTTTGCCCTGTCCTTTGCATGCTTGCCTGTACGGGTATGAGTATGTAATCGGACTCTCTCACCAATGTATATTTTTCTTTAAGCGAGAACGGTCAGATCCACTCCCTTCTCTCTCTCCCTCCATCTCAACGAGTATGTCCATCGGCAACTCGGGAGAAGAGCAGAGAGAAGAGAGAGAAATGACGGTGCGAGAATGCGGGTGATGGTTTCTCAAAAAAAAAAAAATCAAGAAAAAAAAAAAACCCCCCCATTGGAGTTTGACTGGCTGGCTGGCAGACCATGATCTTGTTGATCACTCAAATTTCCATTTCCCATTTATCAAGAACGAAAAGGCGATCTCCGAGCATGCAAACGCCAACGCCAACGCCAACGCCAACTCCGTGCTCCGCTTGAGCTCGGCCCTCACCTCCAATACTGAGCCAATCTACTGCTAAGGCTAGCTGACTGGACTCTTGCGACCTTGCCCTTCCCTTAAATCAATGACCCTGACATGACCCTGAACTAGAATCAGAATTCTACAGGCTGAAATGACATAGCGATGACCCCCCCCCCCCGGCCTCCAAATGTTGCCCGTCATGCCCTCGTGACGAAGGAAGATGCTCGGAAGAATTCTGATTCGTTCTCTCACGCTGATCAGTGAGTTCCCACTGCTTTGCTCATTCAGGCCGCCTCAAGAAGTGCTGCTACTGCTGGTCCTCCATCGGCGAGCGGTGCTTGTTCGCCAGCTGCTGGTATTGCGGCTTCAAGCACGGGTATATCGAACTTGGGTTTCGCTGCTTCCTCCTTCTTATTCAGTCCCTCTAAGAACCTCGCCTGTTGTTGTGCCTTGACCCTGTCAGCTTCATCAGTGGCCTTCTTGATCTCGATCAGCTTGGCCTTATCCTTCTCGAAGAGCTTCTCGTAAGCGGCAGTGTTGACATCCCACATGGCGACGCATTCGGGGTCCCAGTTGCACTTCTCAACCTCGCCGTAAGCAGGATGTGTGTGGCGCGGGTGCGCGTCCGTCCAGGCCGATGCGTGATATAGGTGCTTGACAAGCGCGAATCGCGAGTTGTGATCCCCAGAATCCGAGTGGCCTTGACCAGCAGCAAAGGCTTCCACGTTCATCACCAGCATCCCCTTGACCAGAACGGCCTCGTCCAGGTTGTGGAAGGTGTCCCAGGTGATTTCCTTACCCTCGCGCTTACTCATTTCCGCCAGAGCGGCCAAGGTGAACGCAGACGGGCCCGTCCCCGTAATAACATCGTCGAATTCCAAGACGATCTCTCCAATGGCTTTGCCTTCCTTCTCAGCGATGCCATTGAGCCAGTCCAGAATACCATCGATCAAACGCAGCATGAACGGGTTTCCAGGCTTGCACATGAAAGTCCATTGGCAGAATGACCGGGACTTTTGCCCGAGGATTGGATGCGCAGCGAAACTGGGCTCGTCGACCTCGACGCCAATCACGATGTCGACGTCCTTCTCTTCAAAGCGCTTGGGCAGCCAGCGCTCGATCGGCTTCAGGTTCTCAACATCGATATCCGCGTAGACTCCCCCGTCTGCGTACATGATCAGGTATCGCAAGAGATCCGCCTTAATGATTCTCGCAGTAAGTGATCGGTACATGTCGACAATGTCCGGACGGTTCATGCCATTGCGACCGAAGTGTGTCTCGACATAGTACATGTCGTTGTTATCAGTAAGCACCTCATACCGATGGCCAGGATTATTCTTAGTCCATGTCATAGCACGGTTCAAGTCCCGCTCTTCAAAGGCTAGAACATCAACCTTCCAGGTCTGCCAGATCTTCCGGGGGAACGTCTCCGGTATAACAGGTAACTTGGTGCTTCCTGCCGCCGCGGCATATTGTTGTTGCTGTACAGCGACATTCCGTTTGACAATGTCTATCGAAGTCGAGGATGATTCCCAGACGTCGAGATTCGTAATCAAGATGATGAAGACGATGAATGCAATATACATCGGTAGGCACCGCTGGATCTGCTTAGGGACACGATTCACAAACTTGCTCCTAGTTGGCGATACTGATAACGATGAGGCTCGGAGATTCTCCATTTCTGTCGATGTACTGTTTTTTAAGGATAGTCGAGTAAGCGAGCGTGATTGTCGAAAGAAAGAAGGAAGGAAAGAAGGAAAGAAAGAAGGGTGAGGTTTTTTTTTTCCCTTGTATCTGACGGCGGTCCGAAATTTTATTGAAATTTTATTGAAATTTTATTGCTGCCTTGAGGTACGCCTGCTAAGTAGATAGAAAGGTGATAAGATAACAGGAGAGAGAAAGGAACAGGTTGAGGCTTATCTAACGGAAAAAGCATCGAGCCGATTCGCTAAAACGGCGCCAAGTCTCGCTTACTAGCACGCCCTCTTTTTGGAATAGAAAACATTGACATGCTAAACCCCCCCCTAAGGAACTGCGTCCTCGCAAATGCAGTCATAGAAGTCAATATTTAGGCTCACTAACTACAACCGTCTCTCCTATCGCTGCAAGCTTGCTACTAATCCAGTCTCCAGCCCACGGTCTACAGTCTACAGTGGGTCCGGTCGGGTGTGTCTTTTTGTCATAGCGTCCGCACAATGGTAACCGTGTACAGTAAGTATATCGTGGTCTACAGAGAATAAATTAGATAGAAAAAAAATCCGTCACAAGATTCCGAGCTACCTTAAGAGTAGGCCTAGGAGTAGGGTGGGATTTGATTACGTAGCTCTTTCCAGTCTCTCTGCTTAAAGGGGCCGGTGTGAATGACGATTGAATACTTCCTGGAGCTAGGTAGTACCTGGGTAGGTATTCCGTTCTCGCTGGTCGTGAGGGGTAGCCAGCTGTCCAATGTTGGGCTCGCTAAGCGACCCCCTTTTTCTGCTTGGTTAGCATAGCCGAGAAATGATAATGAAATCAACAAATCTTTACCAGGCTCAATGTCTATAACTACTGTGCTACTATACTTTTTCCCTGTATGCCTTATTTGTACTTGTGTGCGTACACCTACATACGAGTAAGTGCCAGCAGCCAGTAGCGTCCGAGGCTAAGTTGAGCGGCCATTCAGACTGCGAGGCTAGAATAGCTGATATAGGGCTCATGCTATAGATACGAGACTACGAGAATCGGATGACTGCTAGGACAGGCTTTTCTGCTAGATAATCCGGGTAGTTTTCAACGTCTTGAACTCTTGGCTCGCTTTTCCGACAAGCATCTTGAAGCTGTCCTACTCCGGAAAATGCTAAATATTATTATTGCTACGGCCGATCGGCCCCCTCACCCCCTGCCACCCCCTCACCTTGGGATCCCTCTGGCTGGCAAATCGCCCTGGTCGAGATAGCCCTTGTGTGAAGGCTGCAATCCTGCCATCGGCCCTAGCTGTCCTATGTGTGCCAATTCAGATCACATCGCGACCTTGGCAAATCCGCAAACATGTCGTCGTCGACCTTCAACCTCGGTTCCCCGACCAGCTGGGGGAAGGTCAACAGATTTCACGACAGCCACGAAGACCTGCTCGAGAAAGGATACTGGCAAGGCATCAATTCGGAAGCCAGAAACCCGAATCTTCGACGCGCCTTCCATAAATTCGTGGACATCGTGCGCCCTTCCATTCTGACCCAGGGTCCCGCCGCAAATAAGCCGCTGTTTCCAACATCATATTTGGATGGTTTGAGGGGCTTCGCAGCCCTCTTGGTATATATCCAACATCATGAGCTCTGGGTGCGAGAAGCCGACGGAGATGGAGAGATATTTGAGAACGGATTCGGCTACAATGGGAAACATCATTTTGCGACATTCCCCTTCATCCGCTTGTTCTTCTCGGGCGGCCACTTTGCAGTTCCGATATTCTTTGTGATTTCAGGATACGTTCTGTCGGCGAAACCACTGCAATTGAGCGAAGCCGAGGAATATAGCAAATTCAGCGACAATGTCTCATCGGCTCTGTTCCGCCGATGGTTGCGTCTCTGGATGCCCGTTATGGCGACGACGTTTATCTATATGACTCTGGCCCACTATCCCGGCTTCTACACCGACGACTATGTCCACAAGGCCACGTACGGAGAGGAGGTGTGGGAATGGTGTGTCCAAACGAAGAATTTCAGCTTCATGTTCGACATGAGCGGGAACCCTTTCTTCCCATTCAACGGACATATCTGGACCATCCCCGTGGAGTTCAAGGGATCGATAGTGATCTACCTCTCGGTCATTGCACTCGCCCGCTGTGCGAGAAATGCACGGCTCTGTTGCGAGCTGGTACTCATCTACTACTTCTTGTACATTTCCGACGGCGCATTCTACGCTATGTTTATGGGCGGACAACTACTCGCGCATCTGGATCTTCTAGCACTCAACAAGAACCTCCCACTCATTTTAGCCCGTCTGGAGCCTTACAGAGAGATCATCGCCTACCACTTGCTAATCATCGGTCTCTACCTCGGTGGCGTGCCAGCCCACAACCAGGATCTCAACGTCGTGCGCAACACCCGCGGGTGGTACTACCTGTCCTTCCTCAAGCCGCAGGCCGTATTCGACTACAAGTGGTTCTACATGTTCTGGGCGGCCATATTTACCGTCGCAGCCGTCCCGCACGTTGGATGGCTGAAGCGGTTCTTCGAGGGCAGATTTTGTCAATACCTGGGCAGGATCTCATTCGGCCTCTATTTGTGTCATGGACCGGTGCTATTTATTCTTGGCGATCGCTTATACTCTGCGGCGGGCTGGACTAGAATCAAACATTTGATGGCTATGCCGCAGTGGGTTAACGCATGGCCATTATCCCACGCTGGGCCTCTGGGTCTGGAATGGGGGCTCTTGGTCCCGAACTTGATTCTTCTTCCGGTTACGCTCTGGTTCGCAGAAATTTGCACGAGGTTTATTGATACGCCCAGCGTGAAGTTTGGACAGAATCTGTACAAGAGGCTGCAGAGAGGGACGTAAAAGTAGTAAATCTTTGTAGTGATACATAAATGGTCACGATAGGAGACATTTAGTAGTTTGGTTGGGTAGCACATGGTAGAGAGAGGCCTTGAGGATAACGTGGTAGATACTAGATTTTCTGTTGGTAAGTCAGCTAGCTGTAACTGTAACTTGAGTCCAATAGTTGCAGGTTTGTTTGCGCATATAAGAAATGCATTGTATTTTATTCCTCTCTATATCAGAAAACCACACGGATTGACAAGACGCACTACAAGTACAATTTCCTCACTCAACGTTTGCATTCAGTTAGTATTTATCGGCATTCCCGTGAGCTGGAACTAGAAAGGAGAGAGGCGGAGCTAGCTAGCTGAAAGACCGACTAGCAGGGACTATCCAGAGGGACTAGAAGTCATCTGCTCCAAAGGTTCTTAATATATTTCAACTCGTCTGGCGACGTGACTTCCAACATTCATCACCTTAACTTCATCTTTATCTCTCGCGCAAGTGAGGTATCATTATCTATTTGCACCATGTTACTGCTCAAAGGGAAGACTCGCCATGTTTTAATAACCTTGTCCTCAATTATCTTCATTGCCGTACTCGGCAATTTCCACAACACGCTCCTCTCCATTCCCGTCACACGCATCATCTCCAACTCCCAGCACAGCTTTCCACAGCCCTTCAACATCGATAGTCCGATAAATCTGGATGGTACCAAGAAACACACGGTCCTGCGCTCAGTATCGACTCCAGACGGGCGATACTTCGACGTCAAGTTCGGCGACCACAACGGCTCCGCGAACGTCAACTTCGTGCCCCATCCGCACTGGAATGACACCTGGGTTATCGTCGCCCAGAAGCCGAAAAGCAAGATCCCCCAGACCGTGTGGTTTGCCGAGATCGTCTGCAACGCGCAGTTCACCGCCGCCCGCGTGCTCTCCTGCATCGAGCCCCCCGGCATCCTGCCCGTCACCGCCACCGCCGGCGACAAGTGCAGAGGCACCAAGCTCGACTATCTGGAGAATTCCATCGGCCCGCGCGACGCGCGCATCTTCTACGGGCCCAAGAGCCCCTACGTGATCTTTGGCTCCAACGGCGTCGAGACGGCCTGCATGGGCATGTGGATCGAGGACTTCCGCGTGCTGGTCGACTGGGGCCTGGAGAGCTACGACGACACCAAGTACCGCCACGCGACGAAGTTGCGCCGCCCCGGCACTTACACGGGCATGGAGAAGAACTGGTTCGTGTTCTGGGACTTCCAGGGGAACTACTACGCGCACTACCACGTCTCGCCGAGGCGCGCCTTCGCGCAGCTCAACAACGATGGCTCCGTGGGCGAGGACCTCGCATCAAGGGCTACGACAGACGAGCAGTGCCTAGAAGCGAGGATGCCCGCTGCTACGCGCGACCACGAGGAGATCCACCAGGCGACCAACTCGCTGGCCGTCACCATGTGCAAGCGTGCGGACCCGGCGTGCCAGGCGACGGCGCAGAACACGTTCATCTTCACCCTGTTCCACTACAAGAGCTACTACCAGTATCACGGGGAGTACGAGCCGTACGTGATGATGTTCCGGCAGTCCGCCCCGTTCGATCTGCATTCGATCTCGGAGAAACCGCTGTGGATTCACGGCCGGGGTGGCGAGGGGACGGGCAAGAAGCATGCGAATTGGAAAGAGGGGCTTGGTAAGTGGACGCAGACCGAGATGGTCTACGTGACGAGCATCGCCTGGAAGCAGAAGGGACTGAAATACCACGGCTATCTCGACGATGTGCTGCTTATTGGATTCGGCGTCGAGGACGAGCATGCCGGTGGTATTGACGTAGTGGTTGGAGATCTGTTTGAGAATTTGGCACCGTGTTATGGACTCTAAACTCCCAAGACAGCATTTTGTATATACAGAGGATATAGAAGGCGTCCGGTGTCTCACTTCTTATTTCTTGAAAGTTGGTTGAAAAGCGATAAAGCTATAACCAAATAAGGGCTATCCCGAGCAGATTATTAGAGTCCCCGTTACCTTTATCTGCGACCATCCCTGTGTAGCCTCGGATGCCACACTATGATCCGAATCGGAAGGGAAAAAAAAAAGGAATTATATGGATATTTCAGCGACGGAATCAGAGAAAGAAAGATTCGCAGAACCTCAAAACCAAGATATCTTACTTCCTTTAAGGAGTAGCTTTCTTTCTTTAAACGAGTAGGTACCTTCCCTTCATAGCTACTATCACTTTACCAAAGACACCATGATACCTATGTCACTGAGCTCGGTAGTTTTTCAAAACAAAACAAAACGCCATTTGTCATTCTTCTGTAAGCGAAAGGACATTTCAGATTTGACTTAAGCGAGCAAATAAGCAAATACCAAGAAATCCCCCCGCCCGAAGAAGAAGTCACAGCGTTTTCGGCTTCTGTATTCATTATACATTGATGACGCGTATATGATACAATCTTAACGCTTACAAGAGCCAGCCAAACTACCTAGCACGTGTGAATTGGGGTAGGTTAGAGCAAGGATATACGTTTCTTTTCTTTTCATCTGATTTTCCATTCCGCTTAATCATCTCACCGGATTCCCTCACGTCATCCATGAGAAACTACCCAATAATGCATCGAGAAAACAGAGCAAACGCATTTTATTTTTTGCCGTTCCTCATAATCATCTCCTTTCTCCCTCCCGCTGGCCTATCTAGGGCCCAGCTTCTCTAGACATCTAGCCGGGCCCTGCTCCTCCCACTCGGCCTTACTAATCCACATGTCCTCCTTATCCGCCATGATATTTGCCAGCACGGCTCCCCCTAAAAACACCATATGTCTCCTCCTAGGCGGGTCCTCAATCCTCACTTTGAACTTGCCCAACCGCTCTGGATTTCCACCCAGTACCTTGGTCAACCACAACTGCTTCAGCTCCTTCTCGAGGCGTGAGGGGAGACCAGGGTACATGCTGCTGCCACCAGAGAGAACAATAGCTTTGTAGAGCGAGGAGCGCACGTCGACGTCTGCAGCTTGGATGGTATTGAAGAGAAACTCGGCGATGCCAGGTTGTTCGACATCAACGAGATGAGGCTGGAAGAGACATTCGGGCGCCTCGAAGCGCTCGCTGCCAACGCGGATGACTCTTCCATCTGGCAGAGTGTAGCTTTCTACCAGGACTGTCGTGTCTTCGCTAAGTCGTTGATCGAGTTCCAGGTCGTAAGAAACATAGCAGAGCTTCTCTTTGATCTGACGAACTGTCTCGAAATCGGCTGTGCGATTAAGGGCGTATCCGCGGCGGAGAAGGAGCGCGATTAGGTTGCGGGTTACGTCTCGGCCGGCAACGTCCAGACGGCGGGTGAGGTGGTTGAGTACGACGGATTCGTAGACAGGGACGATGTGGGTTACGCCGTCGCCGGAATCGACGACCACTCCCGAGCTGAGACCTGAAAGTTCCGCATTAGTATAAATAGCCCTTACCCATCCATACCTCCCCATCAACAAGAATGTACGCACCCTGCGCGTACAGCGCCAGCACGGCCTGGATGGCAACATACACCCCCCCAAACTGGTAGCGTTCGAACATCACCTCACACATCTTCTCGCGGTTTCGTAGCGGGTTCATGGGCGGCTCGGTGAGCAGAATCTTGCGGCCCGACGGATCAAGCTTCATCTTTTCGTAGAAGGTGTAGTCCCACAGATGCTGCATGTCGTCCCATTTCTTCACGATACCATTCTCCATCGGGTACGAGACCTGCAGCATAGTACGGGCGGCTGCGGCCTCATCGCCGCACATGATATCCTTGATAACCAGGCCATCGTTGCCCTGCTCTTCGGAGCGGAGGATAGGCCGGCCGACGATGGAGGGATACTGGAACTCGGGAAAGTTCTGCGGACAGGATGTTAGGGTGAGAAGAGCAGTAAGGTAGAGGTTAGATATTAGGTGTGAGACGTCTATATCAGGCAGAGATGGCGCATACCTGGGCGGCGTATCCGACTTTGAGGAATCCGGTCCCTCCGTCCAGGACTGTAAGAGGGGAGTCAGTGGAGAGTTGCTACTGCGTGTCCGAAGGAGGAGGAATTAAGGATATACATACCTATGGGAGGCTCTGCCATGGTGTGGTGCAGAATGTGGTTGGATCGATATGTAGGGCCGAGGGGAAGGGAGGGGAGCGGAGGGTCGTAGGATGGGTGGGGATGGAGTTTAAGGTACGGATACGAGTACGAGTACGAATACGAGCGAGTAAAGAGCTGGTCATGTCCCTTCCCCGCCAACAAGGCGAGGCTCAAAGCCAGCCTCGTGCAGTAGGTAGTTGCCATTTCGGGATATATGTTTTGCTTGCCTTCTGATTCCCCTGAAATCTTCATATCTCATCAGTGTAAACAAATAAGCAAACATGCCCCCGAAAAGGATCCTCGTCATTAATCCCAACACCTCCAAATCTATCACCGCGTCCCTCGACCAGCTAATCAGAACCCTCACCTCGGACTTCCCAACCACCACTCAATTCACCACCTACACGGCCCCTTCCGGTCCACCCAGCATTAACAGCGCCGACGACGCCCTTGCATCCGCGCGCATCGTATACGAAGATCTGCGCTCCCGCCTAGAAGACTACGATGCCCTCCTAGTTGCCTGCTATAGCCTGCACCCCCTCGTCGCCGGCCTGCAGGACGAGGTCGCTCATGGCATCCACGTCACGGGCATCTTCGAGGCGAGTATCACCACCGCCCTGGCCCTGCTGCCCATGCGCTACGAAGACCCGACACTAGAACGCCTCGAGACGCGCCACAAGTTCGGCATTGTGAGTACGGGAAAGGTGTGGGAGAAGGAGCTGTCGGACGGCCTCAAGCTGTTCCTGGACTTACAGAGCGTAGAGGCGACGGGGAGGTTTAAAGGCGTCGAGACGACGGGGTTGACGGCCGCGGAGCTGCATTCAGCGCCTAAGGAGCTGGTTACGCGGAGAATGAAGGAGGCGACGAGGAGGTTGGTGAAGGACAGGGATATCAAGGTTATATGCTTGGGCTGTGCAGGCATGGTCGGCCTGGAGGATATTGTCCAGGAGGCTTTGGTCGAAGAGTTGGGCGAGTATGAGGCCGGTGAGATTGATATATTGGATGGTGTCAAGGCGGGCATTGCCTTGCTGGAAGGCTTGATGAGGACCCTACCAAGGAAGAAATGAGGTGGGTGACGTTCATGGTAGGTTGGACATATATCGGTGGAAATTTGACTGCACCTCTGAGCGAGTTTGGTAGGTGTGTTCTCTCTTTCATCCTCCACGCCGTCTTTAAAACCTCTTTAGGTAGGCTCTGATCCCATTGTCTTCTTACGCCAGGCCTGCCTCGAGCACTGCTTTACTGACACATCAGTAAGATCTTCACGGCATAGTCTGTCTGCCTGCTATCAAGCCCTGTTATGCAGCCCAAAATATCTATTACTTATTAACAGCTTACTGTCGGTGAAGAACTCAAATCTGATCTCATCATCCCTCATCGTGGCATAGGTACCAATCCAGATAGTCCCCATATATTCATAGCTACTTCTGCATATTATAACATAAGCTCAATAGCGCACACATCCACAGTCCATCAATATTCAATTGTTAATGCCCGTTTGTGCCCTTATGGCAGTCGACTCAATTCCGTGCCGTCATATTCATGCACGCATGCTCTTGTATGCATGCTGTAGGTAACTGTACAAAGCCCACCTCAGCCCAATGCAGTCCGGCTCTCTCATCGCCTATCCTCCCTAGCCATCTCATCTTCGTGTCCCCCCTCAATTACTCCTCTCTCCACCCTTCGCGGCCCTCAGCTCATCCATCTTTGCTACCCGCTTCTTGAACTCGTCGTATTGGCACTTTTCGTAGCTGTGTCTCTCGGTCTGGTAGTTCGGTTTCAATCAGTGTCATTTTTCCCATCGCGATCTCTCTTTCCCTCCAATCCCACTTCTCTTCCTCCCTGAAACTCAACCCTATCTCTCTCACTTTCTCCCCCCCTCCACTCCCCCAGCCCATTGTAACCCCCCGCTCCCCAATCTTTCATCTTTACATCTCCCTCCACTCTCAGAACCTTTACCATACTCTCCCCTCCACGAAACATAGAAAGTTGACGCACCTCACATTTCCACGGCAAGTAATACGTCTCAAACCGGCACCTGTTCAGCGGGATGAGCAGGTTCGCGCACCCGTCCCGGTACTGAATCGGCAGCCGCGCTTCGCGCATCTCCTCCCGTGTCGCGGCTGTTTTTGGAATCCAATTAGTTAGCAGATACTTTGACAGAGAATGAATGGAGATTGGGCCTGGATCCATAGATTGGGATTTGGGGGAGAGATTGGGAGACTGTGGGAGAGGGAGGAGACGGAGAAGACATACGCGCTGGCTCGGAAGAGATCCCAATTGCGGATTTGAGGGTTTCGGACACTGTCATGATGGCGGTCGTGGTGGTGGGATTGTGGTTTGACTTTTATATGGTATTGAGAGGGAGCTTGAGGTTGGGGGGGTGGAGCCGAATCGAGTGGGGATTAGTCAGCCAGAGATTGAACGGACTTGACTTCGAATTTCCCACCTCGCACTTATCACTTCCACTTTCCTTCACCAAAGAGAAACGTCAAATATCGAGATAAACCAGTTATCTTCAAGTATTCGGATATCAGTCGACTTAAGTGTCTAGACGATGAGTCTTCCATTCCTTTTAAATGCGAGCTTTATATATCGCCCTGGCCTTGGCGGATTCGATACCATTTATTCTCAGTACCACCCTGCCCAATCATCTACCTACCTTATCTAGACTGGGATTTCTCCCATATATCGTACCCTCGCCTTCACCTTGGGTTTATGAACAGGAAATTTGAACTCAAATCAAATTATAAAGTTCCATCAATTTAAGCCTGGGGAACTGTAAAGACCGCGGCCGGCGGGAGGGCAAGTGAACACGTCACGTCAGGATAGGATAACGAGGGATAACTCACAAGCATGTAGGCTTTCTTGATTCCTTCTTTTGATGGTTATATATATGCTTTTGAGTATCTTGTGTTTTCCTAGAAGACGCTAGATATTGCCAAAACGCTGACTCTGGACCAGCCCAGGCTACGAAGAAAATAGTATAAAATAACGGCATTCAACTTTGAAAGGAGAGGAAATTAAGGGTTCCCGAAGATCTTCAATAACCGTCCAGTTAAAGCAAAAGGGCGTGGAAGAGAGGATCTTAGCTTAAAATTGGCTAACGACTCACCACGTACGTATCTCTTTCGGATTACCGAAGACTACCTTCATACCTTACTAAGAGTCACTGGACGCTCTCGGATAGCTTCTCCGACTATTTGTAATTGACGTTTTCAGATAGGGAAAACCCCTTGAAGTCTACCGATTCGATATGCCCAAGGCGCTAACGATTCAAGCGTAAAACCCCGAAGAGAGATCGTTCGGCTCGGCTCGTCACCAGCCAGAGTGGGACCTATGGCCACTAGCATTGATTTGGACTGGCAGAGGAGGTTCAGGATATGCAAGTAAGCCCAAAATCTGTTCAGCAAGGCTATGTTAGTAAGAGTAGAAAGCGTGTCGAAGGCCGCTCTACTGCTATGATGTCTCAACAGCTGTGTTGTTCAAAACACCCAGATACGTATGCATCTTTGTCTTGCACTGTCGCTCTCCGAATGAATGAGATAAATCCCATCTCCTGCTTCTTAAGAGGCCGGCTGTATCTCGTTCTGGTATTGGAAGCTATTAAGTGTCGCGTAGTGCTAAGCTATGCAATTTCCAGACTGTCTCATTTCGGGTTGACATCAAAACCGTTGCAGTTGCGGGCAATCTCATTAAGCTAGCTCAAATTCCAAAGATGGCCATCAAATGAGTCAGACGATAAGTAGTTTCAAAGCATCTCAGAATCAGAATCAGATTCCGATGGATCAAACAATTAGCACAAGGAGGAGCAAGATCGAACGCTCTGCTACTCAGTGAAACCCTATTATTAATGGTAAGATCGATCGGTCAAATCGTGAGTCGTGTGTATATATGTGTATATATATATATATATAAATGTACAAAGAAGAAAAACAAGTTCTCAATGTAATCAAAGCCATCATCTCGCTTTTAGGAGCTCAGTACCCTAACATCAGGTATGTTTGCCAAAAAGGCTGTTTTCTGCAAGCGGAATGCTTCGATTATTGTCGCTTTGCTGGCTGCCCATTACGGAACTCAATATTCGAGACCAGAATATGAACGCCACTTGTCGTTGCTCACTTGCGACTTGCAGATTCCCTGGTGCCATAGCAAAGTTTAATCAAACTTTTTTTTTTTTTTACTTTTTGAAAAACAATTGGTTAAGAATTAGTGGAAAGCAGTGAGCATCAGTTTAGATAAGATCGGAAAAGTAAAGAGAAAAGTTTACGGATACTTGTTATATAATTTAATAAGAAGCGGCTCGACCATTCCAGATATTTTGGCCCGCCTTTACAGTCTGTAGGTCAGGTGACTCGCTTAGTCAACCCTGCAAAGAGCCGAGCCGAGACGCTAGTTGCCCGCTCCTTCCCCTTTCTTCTTTTCCAAGTTTCTTTCGGCTTCTCTTCCTTTATATTCCTCAAATGCATGCTTAAATCGCCTTGCTAAGATAATTTCTTGTCCTTCTGCTTGCCTTTCTACTTCCCCTTCTTCTAATTCTTCCTCGTCCTTATCTTCTTCAATCTTCATCGCCCCTCCCCCTCCCCCTCCCCCTCCCCCCTCATCACCCGTCAAGATGCCACTCTACTGCACCCCGTGCAACAGGACATTTGAGCAACAAGAATACTTAGAGCAGCATCTGCGACTGTCCCGTCGACATGCGAAATCTCCCCCGACACGCCTCCAACCCGCAAACGCCCAGTCACGAGGTTCCCAGGCCCAGCACATGATCCACACCAGCAGCAACGCGAGATGCTCGAATCCCATGAGAAATGATCGACTGCCATTACGGAAGCTTTCTAGTGCCATTTTTAACACTCCCCAGAACCAGACTCAGACCGAGACCCATATGCAGATCCAGATGCCGGTCTGTGGAGAATTGCTTCCCCCGGCTCCTCGATGGACTGTCATTCCCCATTCCGAGGCTCAATCGATACTGGAACTGCTCGCTGGACATTCCCACTCGCTGAAGGAACTGGAGGCCAACAAGTTTCTTGTCAAACCATACGTTGCCGAGAGCACCACGCATCTCCCGCGCAAGTGCACACGATGCAATGCTAGAGACAAACTCTCCCCTCGACCCAGGCCCGAGGCTGATAAACATGAACCGACTGAGGAAGATTCTGCTGAGCCCAAAGGCAACGAGGACCAACAGTGCTTCTTTCACACCTCCAAGCGGAACAAATACGTGAGTCTCGATCCCCGACAATGGTGGGTTGAATAAATAGAATCAACCGAAATTAATGCTCACACGCCTTTCAGAACATTAAGAAGCCTTACAAATGCTGCACCAGCACCGGAGGCAAAGGCTGCACCATGGCTAACAAGCACGACTTCCAACTCGCAGCCCAATTCTCGAGATATTGCCACTTCCGCGAGACTCCACCGCCCGATGGACGAGTCAAGGCTCGTGCAGTGGTACTGGACTGTGAAATGGCAGGCGTGGTGGGCAACGCCACGGGTGAGCCTATTCTTATCTGCGCGATTGACTACATCACTGGCGTCACCATCCTCAACCACTACGTTGTCCCGGAGGAGCCTATTACCCAGATGCGCACCGGTTGTCACGGAGTCACTTATGCTGCGCTCAACGATGCAAGAAATCGCGGCATTGCGCTTGCCGGTTGGGAAGGTGCACGTGCAGAGCTATGGAAGCACATTGACGAGGAGACGATACTCATCGGTCATGCTTTGGACAATGATTTGGGTGTTCTGCGTATGATTCATCGACGAGTCGTCGACTCGGGAATTCTGGCTCGAAGTGCGGCTGGCAAGGGACCGCAGTGTGGCTTGCAGGCCTTATGCTCGCAACTGCCCGGTATCGAGATCCGAAAGAACAAGAAAGGGATTCACGATTGCATGGAGGATGTCTTTGCAACCCGAGAGGTCGTACTGTTCTGTACTCGGCGCAAGGACGAATTCAAGGCCTGGGCTAAAGCCAGAAGAGCTGAACAGCTTCAACTGGAGAAGGAGCGCGAGAAGTTGAGGTTGGAGAAAGAGCAAGCGAAAGAGGCAGAGAAGCGCAAGCACGAGGAAGCAACGAAGGATGGGAAAAGGTAGTCAACTCAGATAGATTAAGGAACTCTGCCGAAGCCGAAGATGGCCAAAGATGCTTGAGCATTTCACAGTATCGTTACCGAGCTAGATACGATCCGAATGTACCCTGCATCAGCAAGTACACCGTCTTGACCTGGTTACAGGTCGAGGTTGAGGGAGGAACAGGACCCGGGAAAGAAGCCAGGAAATACACAAAACGCGGATATGCGAGCAATATGGAGAGCAAAGTCCCAACTCTGACTAATTACTTTACTGTGAGTAGGATCTTGCTGCTACATTGGAAGGCGATGGTGGAGAATGTGCTGTGACGGGTTTGATTACCTTGATATTGGCACACTTTGCAGAGCTTTATGGTTCGATTCAATGTCAATGTTTTATGACTTACATGTCCTTGATTGGTATGAGAACTTTGAACCTAGCCTGACGTAGCATTCGCGATTGATACAGAGAAAGTCGACTTGTTGTCACGTGAGCTGGCGTATGTGTTCGGTTATCATCCGATCGGACTGTCGCGACGCCAGATCTTTAGAACCTCAATCCAAATTACAATCCCAACCTCAACTGCATCACCACTCACTCGCAACCCGCGTCGCTCAATCGCAATAATGACCATTGGCATCGACGACGACGATGACGACGAATTCGGCTTCAGCTCCGGCGACGAGGCTGATCTTGTTGCACTGATAGACGCGACAAACACCAAGAGGAAATTGTCTGACGCCGACGACCTCCTTCCTTCCAAACGAATTGCGGCCCAATCATACCCTTCCGCGATCACAGCGCTTAAGAATAACTTTGGAATGAAGGAATTTCGATCAAAGCAAGAACAGGTTATATCACGGATATTGAGCGGAGAAAGTGCCACCGTCGTATTTCCGACTGGAGGAGGAAAGAGTCTCTGCTACCAGATACCAGCGTTGGCATTCGCAGAGGAAGATAAGCGGACTGCTATTCGGGGGGAGGGAGAGAGTGGTATCACCTTGGTTGTGTCTCCGTTAATCGCGTTGATGAAGGATCAAGTCGATGCGCTCGTCCGCCGCGGAATCAAAGCAGCATCATTCGATTCGTCCAAGCCCCGTGAGGAATACCTGCACACCTGCGAGATGCTACGTAGCGGAGAGTTAAAGATACTGTACTGCGCCCCCGAGAGACTCAACAATGAAGGCTTTCTCCAGCAGATGATGCATGTCCGAGGAGGGGTTCGTTTGTTGGCGGTGGACGAGGCACATTGTATTTCTGAATGGGGGCATGCTTTTCGCCCAGAATATCTCAGTACGTAGCAGCTTCCAATGTCCTCAGCCCTAGCTGACACATCCATCCAGAGGTTTCCAGATTTGCCACTGAGATCAGAGCTGAACGCGTGGTCTGCCTTACGGCTACCGCCACTCCCCAAGTTGCTTCAGACATCTGCAAAGCGTTCAACATTGACGAAGAGGCCGGTCTCTTCAGAACATCAACCTACCGAAAAAACTTACAGCTTTTGGCGGAGTCCGGTAAGACCAAGCAGGACCTATACCCCAAGCTGTTCAACTTTTTAAAGCAAAATCCCGGCCCTACAATCATTTATGTTACAATTCAGAAGCAGACAGAAATGTTGGCTCTGGACCTAGTGCGACAAGGCTTTAATGCAAAATCCTTTCACGCCGGTATGGAGACTGCTGCAAAGACTGCTCTCCAGAACGAATTTATGCGTCGGGATGATTTGATCATTGTGGCTACTATTGCTTTCGGAATGGGCATCGATAAAGCAAACATTCGCAACGTCGTTCATTATAATCTCCCGAGTAGTCTTGAATCATATAGTCAGGAGATTGGAAGGTCTGGGAGAGACGGCAAGATTAGCAAATGCATGTTCTATGTCTGTGGAGAAGATCTTCACCTACGCGGTAAGTACCGTGGGAGCCAACACTACTCATGTCTTGCCCCGCGATATCTAAAAAAAGACTTTTTCCTTTCCCAAATCTTCTCCGGTCAGGCACAAATGCTGACTGACGCCTTCTCCTGAAGAGATGTTTGCTCGTGGTGATCTTCCAAGCCTCAAAGGTGTCCAGGACCTTCTGGAGGAAATATTCAGCACAGCTCACGCCGAGGTCGGAAGTGAAATCAAGCTCTCCCTCTATACACAGTCCAGAGAATATGATATTCGGGACAGCACTTTGAAAAACATCTACGCCCAGTTAGAACTCACGTACGGCCTGATCCGAGCTACTACACCTATGTATACAAAATACTCCTACGCTGCCGGCCCCTCATATGAATCAACCGTCTCCCGAGATCAGTCCCCGGCTGCCATTGCCGTCAGAGGGTTTGCAAAGAAGGCTGTAAAACTGCATCACATTGATGTCGATGCTGCCTCAAGCAGGTACGGGCTAGAGCGGACGGAGCTGATTCGGAAATTGAATGACTGGAACGAGAGCCGAGTCATCGATCTGAAGCCCACGGGGGTCCTTAACGTCTACAAGGTCATGCAAAAGGTACCGAAGAAAGCCGAGATCGAACGTCTCGCTCAGCAGATCCATGCGACCATGGAGAAGCGTGAAAGAGAAGCCTTGCAACGCACCAACGACATGCTCGAGCTGATCACATCCAAAGCATGCTTCTCCAAATCCCTCGCTCGCCATTTCGGAGACGACATTGGTGGAGACGAGTGCGGACACTGCACCTGGTGCATGACACACCAGGCCGTCGTCCAGCAGCTGCCGCCCCCGGTAGATCTCAACCTAGCAGCTCTGAAAGCCGTCTTGGACAGAGTAAGTGATCGGGACGACGCTCGATTCCTGACCCGGGTTGCTTTCGGCATCTCAAGTCCCCGCGTGACTACACTGAAGCTATCCAAAGATCCCGTCTTTGGATCCATGGCAGACCATGATTTCTCGGTAAGCTACAGGACAGGGCAGCACAGCGCAGCACAGCATCTCATTCCTCTCTCTCTCTCTGTTTCTCTCTCTCTCTCCCCTCCCTTTTTTTCCCTATTGCAGTGTTTGCAGTGTCGTAGTGTACTTATTGACTCCGTACCAACAAACAGAAGCTCCTCAAGGCCTTCACCGCCGCATGCGCAGCGGCCAACAAGAAGCGTTCTTAAACCAGAGATAAAAAGAAATCTTTGAAATTGCTGCTGGCGTATTTATCTATTTAGGCTGCCCAACCACCTACATACCTATGATGATCGCCAAAGAAGTCCGAGCTAGACTAGACTAAACTAGCTAGGTAGGTATCCGCAGTAACAAAAGTTGTAAAAATCTCTAATGCTGAGCATACGAAGTACGGAAATGCGAAATGCAAAAACAAAAACAGCTCCGTATCCAGCATCTACCGTCTACGTTTCACTTCCACGCGGATCCTCGAGAAGAAAGACGTAAGAAGAAAGAAACAAGAAGAGATGTATCAACCAGTCTCAAGTGTTTTTTTTTTTTTCTTCTTCTTTTTCTTCTTTTTTTTCCACAAAAATATCGATATCCCCCTACCAAAAATTGTCAAAGGCCCCTCCTTCCTGACCTCAAGTAGGTAGGTAGGTAGGTAGGTAGACAGGTAGGTAGCTAAGTAGGTAAGTAGGTAAATACCGACCACCTAAAGGGCTCGAAAATTCAAAAGCTTGATAGATAGATAATGACATATATACATACACACACACAATCAGTATCTATTTCCGTTTACTTCACCTCACTTCACTTCACTTCACTTCACGTCCATTCTGCCATTCTGCCACTTCAGTTCTATTCCGAGCGAGGGAGCGAGCGAGCGAGAAAGAAAGAGCCTGGTTATGGAATGAGATGACAAAATAACACACACTCGCGCTCGCTTCTATCTGCGTTGGGGGGGGGGGGGGGAATCCTGCTTGGAAAAGGAAAAGGAATCTTTATTATTGTTATTATTATTTTATATGTACTAATACATGTATACAATGTGTTAGTTCAAGACGTCATTCTTTATGTAATTGTAGGAATTAAAATATCAGGCAGTCAGCGGATTATGTGATCAAGAGATTATGTAAATATCATTTGAACGCTTCCCCAGCTGCTTTTGAATACGCCGCTTTACTGCTACTGACGGAGTTATGAGTTTACGAATATCCTTGGTGAACAAACGGACAGTTAAATTGGGCAGACCTTAATATAAAAGGAAAACCAAACCACAAAAAAGTGCTGTCCAAACGATTAGCTATTTCCGTCATTTTCCTATTCATACAGCTTTGGAAGCTCAACTGCCCGAAGAATCATTTTAACGTGAACTATATCTATTTAATTTTACGCTTCAACCTCTTCTTCTTCTTCCTCTCCCTCGGCGGCTTCAGGATCCGAAGCCTCACCGTTGACCTCTTCGTCTCCATTGACATCGATCAAACTGCCACCTTCGGTCTCTAGCCTTAAATACTCGTCCCATTCGGGGAACAGCTCGTTGTCTTCGCCAGGCACCCCGACGGTCTTCGCGACACGCCCCTTCTTTTCTTTCTCCAACGACTGCTTCCACAGAGCAACGGTCTTGGGAGCCACGCTGGGCTTGTAGGTCTGGGCGAACAGTACTGCTTCTGCGGTTCGACCAGTCTTGGTCAAGAGGTCTATGCAACCTTCGACGTCTGCCAACTGCCACAAACAAGTAAAGGCGACATTATGAGCTCCAACCGATTGGGCCTGCCCACTTAAAGCACGCAGACCGTCACGGTCACCCGTGGAAGAGTGGAGGAGGAGCAGCGAGCCAAGATCCTTTGCGTTTGTGAAGCACTCAGCCGCGAGAGAAACATCCCAGCCAGCAAGAGCAGCGTCACCAACCGTCTTCCACTTGTGCTCGACATCGGCCTCTTTGGCGAGTTCGAGAGCAATCTGAAGATGGCCGAGTGCAAGAGCAAGATCGAATTTGTGCTCGGGATCGGTGGCAACCTCAAGAGCAAGTTCCTTGTGACCTTGGCCTTCCAGGAACCGCGCAATCTTGTTAAGTTGGTCTGTGGGGATGGTTGGTAGCAGTTCGGCTGCCGTCTCCATATCGTCACGGAGTACAAGGGTCTGGTACTCGACGACGGCGAGCGAGAGGGAGAAGGAGGTGACATTGACATCCTTATCAGCCAGGTATATCCGGGAGTCTCGTTGAATATATCCAAGAAGGTACATGGGTTGATCGAAGTGGGAAATGGTGTATGTTTGGTCACCGACCAGGTAGTTGAGTCGATTCGTACTATTGGTGTAAATAAAGCAATCCCCAACCCACTCTCCGGTTCGAACACTTGAGGATGTTAGCGATATGTGCAGATGTGTATAGCATCCAGCTTACCTCTCGTTGATATCGGTGACGACCTCGAAGGCTGCCTCAACTCCATCGTCGTCGACTTCCCCTGACTGAACAGCGGCCAGGTAGTCCTCTCTCGAAAATCGCAAGACGTAGAAGCTATCTTCGCATGCAATCGAGACGAGCTCTCCGTTCTCGGACCAGTATACCTGGATCGGGTCGACCTCAATCCTCCGGACCAAGCCTCCCGTTTGCCAATCGTAGAAAGCAACCCCACCTTGGCCCTTGACCCCGAGAAGAATACCGCCAGTGAGGCCCTCGGCTTGGAAGCCGACATCCAAGCCCCCAGCCTTCTCGACAAAGTTTTTGAAGATTTTCACACTTGTGGCAGATTCGCGGATCGCATAGTCGTTGCTGTTTTCCTTCGGACCCCAAACAAAATCCAACGCCGAGCCGAACGCCTTATTTCTCCATGCGAGCGCAGTGTAGATGATGAATTCTCCATCGCCGCAGACAGAAACAAACCGACCGTTAGCAGAGTGGAGGAGAGTCTGTGGGTAGACTTCGCAGGTGCCGAGATCTTTCGTAGGAAGGGAAATGGGCTCGTTGTCTTTCAAGGAAGCATCTGCTCCGATTAGCTTATCTCCCAGACTTCCAAATTGCATGTAAACGTACCTCCACCCTTGATGATCGATGAAACGACCTCGCTGTGTCTTGCCCAGATCAACTTTCCAGATCCATCCATCGACACCGCAGGTTCCTCGCGACCCATCTTCACCACAACGGCCCCCTCATCAAACCCAACAGCCACGCCTTGCTTGCCTCGTTGGTAGCTGACACACCAAGCTCTCTCCAGACCATAGTTCAGGGATTGCTCCAGTCGGTATGTATTGGCATGCCAAATCTTGACAGTCCCGTCTTCGGATCCAGAAATGATGACTGGGAGCTCCGGGTGGTAGCACGCAAAGGAGACATTGCTGGTGTGGCCCTCCAAAGTGGCAATCAATGATTTGGTGGTGTAGTCCCAGATCTTAACAGTTCGATCGTCTGAGGTTGTCAGAAGGTATGGCTTGTCGGATTGAGGGTAGTAGTCGACATGGTTGACACCCTTTTGCTCATGTGCTTCCAATGTAAAGTTGGCAGTGGAAGAGCCCAGACTCCAGATCTTGACCGTCCTATCCAAACATGCCGAGGCAAAGGTGTTCGTGTCTTTGGGATTGATGGCCAGACCCATGACATAGTGGCTGTGACCCTCGAAAACTTGCACGCACTTCCATCCCTTGTCCCAATCCCACAGCTTGATAGTCATGTCATCGGAGGCGGTAAGGACAAAAGGTTGAGTAGGGTGTACGACGATCGCTCGAATGTAATCCGGGTGGGCTTCGAAGGATGTGATCTTCTCAGAGGTATTGTAGTTGTAGACTCGGAGCTGGAAATCATCCGAGCCGCAGACAATCCAGTTCTTCCGGGCAATGAATCGGCCAGCTCGCACAGGGACATCTGTCAGTTCAAAGCTCTTCACTACTACCTGTGACGGGTCAGGTCAGCCAGCGATGCGCCGCAGATGCTGGAAAATTACGTACTCCTGTCTCGTAGGACCAGATGTTCGCATGCCCTGCAATTCATCAGTGCGAGTCCACGCCATAGCATGCGATGCGCTGGGGAGACGTACCGCTGTAGAGGGTAGTCAGAATCCATGGCTCCACAGGATGGAAGTCGATGCCCTTCACACGCTCGCTGCGGGCAAACAGCTGTCTCTGAATTTGAAACGACGAGTTAGCAGTGCTTGTGGACATCTTGCCCACCACAATTGTCTCGCGCAATTCCAATGCCCTGTTCGGCTGCTGTGGGGGGTGGAAGGTCATCTCCGTCAAGCAGATCCAGCCAGCTCCCAGAACACCTGTCGTCTGCGACTCTGCATTAGACGGAGGTTCCAAGGGAAACGTACCTTTACGTCCAACCGCATGTCTGCTTTTGGTGGTGGCTGCTACACCAGATGGGAGTGCTGTAAGGGGAGAGAGCGGGAGGAAACGTGGCCGGTGGGCGCGCAGAGACCGCTCTGCAGGATTGGGATGTCGTGTTCAGTCGGTGCAGTTCTAGCACAGTCTGCAGACTTATTTCGGAGTGAGAGTATTCACAGTTGTATGGTGGAGGGAGGGAGGAAAAGGTGATGAGGCTGACGTCTTGGAGATTCGTGGTCTTTGGGCAGCGGCAGCGGGCAGCTCCAGACTTGTCGCTAAACTGCCGAAGATTTCCCATCTGGTTTAGCGCAGAAGGGCTCGCATCTGGCTCTGCTGTTGTGCGACTTCATCAAGACCTCACTTCATGACTTCAAATGCATTGATTTGGATTTATCAGGCTTCTTACTATTCTTCCTGTTCTTTCCAGTTCATCAATTTGGTCGGTGAGCTATGGGTAACTTCGGCTATGAGTCCCAGGTGCTATCTATTATCCAGTTCGCTGCAAGCCCGCCCTCAACATGCAATTTTTCTTGCCAGGTCATGTTCATGTCGAGAAATCTGCCGCGTCGTTTAATGAGCGCGCCCAATGTGTTCTTTTCGAGTGTCCTTTCCAAGCTTTCCAAGAAGATGGATCTCCTTTCTGCTCTATTGAAGACCTCCTGCTGTTAGTGACTCTTCGTGGTTCTTTTTTCACATATCCCCCTTCCATTCCACTTATCATTGCGCGGTCAATTTCGCATAGCTTCAAGGACAAAGATTCAAGTCGACAGATGTGGCTCTTCATTTCTTCCAAGATCAGGGTCTCAGCCCATATAATGTCATGCCATCCTCTGGGTATACATATGGCGACGAGCGACTAAAGTATAAATCGCTCAAGATGCACCAAAAATCGCTCCAAATCCCATACCAAACTCCTGAATAAAGCAATCAACGACCCACTTACGCCTCCGCCTGCACCTTTTCTACAACCTTCACAACATGCTCAAATAATTTATCATCCTTGGTCAAGCCGCAGACCTTCTCAACAACAGCCTCTGCCTTGTTCTCAGCCATGATCTTGGCCAGCTCCTCGCTCTCCGCGTCCCCTTCCACGTTCTGGAAACGGAAAGCCATCTCGGCAGCGTCGAGCAAAGCACCAAAGGGCTTGCCCTCCTCAGCAAGCTCGGCAGCCGGGCCGATGAATCTCTCTTTCCGGCTCAGCTTACGCAGCGGAGCACGGCCAACACGCTCCACGGCATCTTCGAGATGCGGGTTGCCGATACGAGTAATGATCTTCTCGACATAATCTCTCTGTTCCTGCTCCGGGATACCATGCTTGCCCACAATTAGCGAGCTCGTCTCGGCCAGCGCCTTGCGGACCTCGTCAATGATTTTCTCGTCTTGGAGCGCATCGAAGACGGTGGTCTTCTGGTGGTAGTATCCGTGGTAGGCCGCCGCCGCATGCCCGGTGTTCACGGTGAACAGCTTGCGCTCGATGTAGGGGATCAGGTCGTCGACCCACTTGATACCCGCGATAGCCGGAGGCTCGTGGTCACGGAACGGCGAGCGGTCGACGACCCACTCGTAGAACTTCTCGAGCTTGACGTTCAAGCCGGCATCAGCATCCTGCGCAGGGACGATGCGGTCAATGGCCGAGTTGGCGTAGCGTGCTCGCTTGTGGTGGTCGGCGAGGCGGTCCGGGGAGGTGTTCTTGGGATTCTTGATGTGCTCCGCGAGAGTATCGGTCGCACCAATGGCGTTCTCACACGCAATCACGGCGATTGGGTTGGCGTCGTTCGGTCTCGCATCAATGCCCTTGGCAATGACCGGCGCGATGAACTTCAGGATGTTGGGGCCTACAGAGCAGGTGACGATGTCGGCGGTCGTGATCTCGGCGATGACTTGGGCCTCGTTGGTTTTGGAGTTGATGGCTCGGTAGTTGGAAATGGTGGTGGTCTGGTTTCCGTCGGCTCCGACTTGGATGACCTTGTATGACTTGGATTGTTGCAGTTGGTCGATGATGCTGTCCATGACATCGCAGAAGACGACTTCATATCCGGAATTGTGGAGGCTGTCGATGTCGCAGGTTAGTGGTCCGTTTGCGGTGTTGATTCTGGGGGTCGGTTGCGGGTTGGACGGGCTGGGCTGTCTGCGGGATAACTTACAATTCAGCGACGAATCCTCGGCCGATGTTACCGGCACCGAAATGTACAGCCTTCATGATGGTGGTGGTGGTGGTGGTGGTGGTGGAAGATACGATATGAGGGGTAATGATGATGTGATATGATATAGTATGATGGAGTGAGTAGATAGTTATGAAGTGGAGTGAGGAAGTGATGGAAGCTGTTATGAGGGATTGAAAGTTAGATCGAGAGAGGACTCCGGCAAGTACTTATACTTGGGGACGAGCATGTATCGATCGTGAGGAAGGGGGAGGAGGGGTACGGATGGGTACTAAAGGTACTAAACGTGAAGGTCATTCAGAGTATCCCTACGGACTGGCCTGGCCTGGTCTGGTCTGGTCTGGTCTTGTCTGAACTGGATTGCATCGGCCTGGGTTGCGGGGGGATGCAGATCCTACGCTAAACGCCCAAAATGACGCAAAAACCGCCGGATATGGTCTGGGCAGGGATACCAAGTTGATCCCCGATCACTTTACTTCATTCAGTTCAGACACTTGACTTGAATTTACTACAACTAGTAGTAGTATAACAAAGCGTAGGAGGTAAGCGGAGGATGTAAGCGTAACTAAGCTGTCGCGTACAGTCGGGAGATACCTACTCTCAAATCGTGTATTTTTTTTAAAGAAAAAAAACGGATATGTCCTGTTGTCCATCTCCATCTCCATATCTATCCACACCCATTCCTCGCTTCGTTTCGTGGCTTGATGAGATGACGATCGCAACGATCGCAACGATCGAAATCGGAGAGGACTGGGACGTATCAACACGTCTGGAGTAAGTACTTATTAGCCTCACTTAAGTGCATGCATTGCCTCGCATGAAGCCATAGCCATCCCGTTCCCCTTCCTGGCCTTCTCCGGCCAAGAAAGTCTGATGACAGTGACGAGAATGATGCTATCGTGAGATAACCAGACGAGACGAGGCATTGATTTGTTTACTGACTCCCTAATACCCGACTCCAAATTCTCCGACCATCGTCGAAGGAGGGAGATTGGGAGAAGGAAAGCGAGAACTGTACTGCCCTGGTCTCGGTATGTCAATAGAACAGGAGAATAACAACAGCCTCATGGAAACCAGATCATCATCAATCCTCCATCGAATTTATCCCGGCCTTACCTTACCCACCTATTACTTGCCTATTACCGATGTTGGCCTCCACTCTACCTGATATGAAGCTCCCCCTTCCAATCCCTCCAATATAGCTGTACCCCTCCAGCCTCCAGCCTCCAGCCTCCACCTCCTCCCCGCAGCCGTCCGGTACGCATTTATCCACTCATCCCCGGATTCCCTCCGCTCCGCTCGCACGCATACGGTCCGTGTCCGTGCTGCGCGGACCAAACAGATCGCATTCATTTACTACGTACTTGTAGTTGCACTCTATACGTAGTACTACTATATTTCATTATTCAAGGTTTCAGCCGAAGATAGCGCGCGACCCAGCCCCAGTTCAACACGCACACACACACACACACACACACACACATCGCGAAAGGCCGGTTATACACAGCCTCAATCCAGACGGGCACGGCTCTCGCTTCGCTTCGCCTCGCCTCGCTTCGGCCACATTCCTACCCTCATGCACTCATGAGCCATTTCTTGTAACCCCTCGCTTCCGGAGTATTGCATCCACGTAGGAAGAACAGACAATCCATCCTCACCTGCTTGCTCTGCGGCGCTTTCCAAAAGTCAAATCCTCAGTCAACCTTTTTCTCCGATTTCAATGCCCAACGATCGGAGCCAGAAGACATACCGGTCCTACTACCGATACCTACCTACAGCTAACTAGATGGAAAGGAATGGAGGAGCTCTCCAAGCAAGTCGTGGTCCCCGTCCTTTGAAAGTATATGCAGGAAGAGGTGCAGAAATGGATCACGCCCCTCCCCCTCCCCTCTTCCTCTCCTTCTGATCATCCGATAGTACAGTACCGCGATAATGTAACGATCTGCAATCTGCATGAAGGCTTACTTACGACGGAGCTCAGTACGTAGACGAAACAATAGGTACCCCGTGGGAAAACCCAGTCTCCGAGTTTTCCCGATCAGCCACAATCCACTTCCGTACTTCCGTACTGCGCCCCACGTGGGCCCACGTGGCCGAGGAGGAGACAGGTTACACTCCGTACAGTACGGAGTAGTGGGAGTTGAGTCACTTGACCTTACCCTTCCACTACTGTATTATCGCTTGAACACGTCTGCATACCTAGGTAAACACACTTACACGCGGTATATTATTAAGAAAACCACTATTATATCGGGATCTAGTAGTAGTGTCTAGTAATCCCTAGATGCGCAGACTGGAGCAACCTTGTCGACTGCATTCCGAGAACCTTTTAGATCCTGCGGATTCGTTGCGTCGACAACATGATGTTTTTTTTCGCAACCGGTAGCGATGTTTTTCTTCCCCCTTCAATTTAGCGACTATCAAATCCTCAAGCCAGCACTAACGAAAGGTACACCTCATACCGTTTAAACAGATTCCTCAAAATTTAAGTCAAATGACTTCTATCCACACGTCTCCTCTTTCGTTCCCCCCTTCTTCCTTTCTCTCCCTTTCTTAATCTTTAGTTGACGATGCTATTAGAAATTGGTTCAAGCAGAGGAGTGGTACCCATTTCCGCGAGTTATATAATAATAATACTAACGTACGTACGTACGTATACGCGCCTTATCACATCACGTCAACCATGAACCCCGTGACTCGCTTGCCGACCGATACCTACCTACCGGTACCTACCTTAAAAAGGGGTCTCGCTTAAACCCAGCAGAGGAGGAGGGGGGCGATCTGCGAGATCGAGATCAAGCATGCGTACGCCTTTTGCATGATTGCTCAAAAACTCTTCGACGCTCAATTCTGCGGCCTCTCTTCCGATTGCTGTACTGTGCGATGGGATTTTCACCTCACATAAATGATAGACACATATGTTCATACCTAAATACAGATGTTATGTCGACCGAAGAAAGCTGGACATCTACCGAGCAATACCGCAATCTCCACTCCAGACCTGGCGCTGATCTTTCTGGGTAACGGTATACGCATCTCAACGACGATCCTCGCGAGATTCCGCTGGGAAGCGTGCGCTTGAAACTCCACACTCGTTCCCCTCCGTTCGTGTCGAGGTCGAGAGGCTGAAAGCTGGGTGGGTTCCAGCAGCTCGGCAGGCAGCATGCAGTGAATTTCTCTCGACCTTGGAGATGAGTTCCGGAAATAAATAAAAATGGGGAGCAACAGGACTGGCCGGCATGCCTCATGTGCATTTGCACAGTCACGTAGCAACGTGTGCGCAATTTCAATCTGCAAGCGTCGGGATGATCCAAAAAAGAAGTTCTATCAATTTGAAAGTGGCTCCTGTATTCGCTCGCCACCATAGTCACTGTGGACTTTGAAAGCTCAAGAATCGGTGCGCAGTAACATGGCAGCATGCAAGAAATCTCTATTCAGCGCCAGGACAGACCTAAGGGTTTTTGATTTCTGGGTGGGAGGGAGGACGGCGTTAGGAGTGAACGTTGGAGCCTCGACGGTCGATGCGTCCACTACCTAACATCAAGTGCGAATCTCGTGGGCAGCACAACTTCAAGTAACCCAGCTCTTCCAACCAGTGTGCACACCGCCCTACGTTACGTGGATACCAACAACCCCCCCTCTTGCTGTTTTTCTGACTCCCGACCTCCTCGAGCTCTTCCAGTCACACTGACCGTACCTTCCCCCTTCAGCACTCTCCCCCACCTACCGATACCCAGGCACCTCGAACCCACACCCGCGCCTCCCCGTACTCTCGCACACCTCGCAGCTCCGCAAATCCAGCTCGCTACCGAGGCAGCTGAGGAATAGCAGCAGTAAGATAAAACACCACCCCCCCGCCCCTCACCCGTGCGCCGCCCTGCTTCGGTACCAGCGCCCCAGCGATCCATAACGGCGCCGAGCAAGCCCAGCGATCAGACGTCAAAGACGCCACTAGCGAAACCCATCTCCCAACTTCTCCTTCCGTGACCATCATCATCATCACCCCCCCACGGCCGAGAAGAGCGCCGCGAGTAGAAGCGGAGAGCCCTCGCAGAGGACCTCACCATGCGTGCTAACTGACTGCTCTCCAGCAGGCGTACCGGTACACACCGCGAGCCGCGTCGGAGAAGACCCCCCACCACGCGTCGAGAGGGTCCACGGCGCGGGAGAGGTTCTGGGCGAAGGTCGGACCCGCGCCAGTCTCTGCCCTCGGGGGGCCGGCCTACATACGCTTGGAGAGGAGAGCTCGGTAGGTAGCATCTACAGTACGGAAAAAAATATATATATATATATTTTTTTTCCTTCCGTCAGGTGTTGATCGAGTGGTCTAATTCTCAAAACAAGAAAAAGGGGGG